GTCATCCGATAGGCAAGCGGATCCCCAAAGTACAGGCAGATGGCTGTGGTTGTCAAAAATAGGCTAACCCCAAAATGGGCTGCCCTGGTAAATGGAAACATGGGCTGAAAGCTGCGGTCCGATTCCTGGCGGTTCAATTTTGACCCATGCCCAGATCCGACAGGATGAAATGACATATTGGTGGTTTTGCAGTGACACGGATGGTGTCCAGATCGCGCCAGGCGCTGTACTGCTGGGGTGTGGCGCCTGTGCTGAGACGGCAACGCCCGAGAGTGGACGCAGCCCTCGCACGCTCAGCGCAGCAGCTTTGCCCGGCCGCCGCGCTTTCCGGTCGAGTTTTTTTAGGTCTTGAGAAGAGTTTGTTTGGGGTTAGTTTGTTGGGGCTTAGTTTGTTGGGGTTCAGGCACGGCGATGTGTTGGGGCTTAGTTTGTTGGGCTTTAGGGGAGGGGGGTTGGAGGAAGCAGCTTGCCTGAGAGTCGGGTGTCGAGGTGTGGCGCAGTTCGGCTCCGCGCCCAGTCGACGTCAGCTCCCGGCAGGTGGCACCTTTTGCTCAGAGAAGCTCGTCGAGGTGCTGCGCCAGCCGCAGTCGCAGGCTGCGAGGGCTCGAGCTTTCGCATTTTTCACGTGTGGCAGGGCTCCCGTGCATTGGATTATTTGGCCAGCAACTTCATCTTACTGAACAAGAGCTTATGGACATTTGGCTGTGGGTCAAAACCAATGGTACCACTTTGGGGTAGGTGCACCACCCATTTTAGTCTATTTTAGTGGGGATTGGGATGTTCACTGGGGGTACGGGATTTTGACCCATGGCCATATCTGTGCGAAGACCCGCTGTTGCCCCAACCACATCTGAGTTTTTTTATTTGCCACGGCAAGAGAACAATTCATTCCGGCTGCCAGGCCATGCCTCTCAAGATGGAGGAGACTTGCAAGCCCTTCGAACTTCGAACTCTGAACATCCGTTGCAGTTCGAGCCAAATTGTCCAAAAGGAACACGCAGCTATCGCGGTTCCTTAAAACACAAAGTGGTTGTGGTTGTCAAAACCCTGTAGCCCTGGTGAACATCAAGGTAGCTGGCAAATTTTGATGTTCATCCACCCCAAAATGGCTCGCCATAGGTTATGCCACCCATGACCAAGTGTGTCAACTCCTTCTGTGGGTTCCTGGTGGTTCCTTTGTCTCCGTGTCAACTTCGGTGAAAATAATGGGTTTCCTTCAGTGTATTATAAATGCCGAATATTGGATTTTTATTATATCCATGAAATTTTATTAGTTTGATTTGTGTTTAATTATTATTTAACTAATATGGAACAATATTGGATTTGTATGGGTTATGGGTTCCTGTGGTTCCCCACCGTCTAAGGAGCCACCCCGATGTCCGCGACTCGCGACTCGCTCGCGCTGCGGCGCGAAGCGGAGCGGAGCGGCGAATCCGTCAGGAGCTCATGGCGGAGGAGCTGGCCAAGGCCGCGGCCGCCCGACTCCTGGGCTCCCGGGCGCGCACGGCCTCGCCCAGGACTGGGACGGATGGGACGGATGGGGCTCGTGCGGGGTGCGTCTTTGCTTCTTCTTTCTTTTCCCTTCCGGCCGAGTGGTGTTTTGTTGGCTGGATTGTTGTTAGTGGTGCCCGTTCTCTTCTTCCTTCGATGCTTCCGGCCGTTTCTCCGCGCCGTTTTTTTCTTCTCGAATCTTTCTAGAAAACCACCCAGGAAACGAATCCTGGTTTCGAAAAGAAGGATGGTTGAAACGAATGTCAGGTAAACCCTATTTTTTGTTGGTTTGGATTGGTGGTTTGGATTTGGATTTGATGTTTTTGGTGCTTGTAAAGATGGGAATCGCAATCCAAGCCACCAATCAGAGGGAAGCGGATTTTTCTTTGCGTCTTCGTGCCTGGGTCCCATGCAAATGGACACCCACGGACCCGATGAAACCACCTGCCTTGTGCAAGCCCAGGCCTAGCCCGGTGATCCGCAAGAGCGAGGCGCAGCCGTTCGATAAGGACAAGTGATGCCAAGAGATTCGGCCATTGCAATTCGCCGTGCACGTTCTGCGTTCTGCCTGCGTAATTCGTTGCGGAGGGGGGAGTTTTCCGGACTCCGTTCCCGATCGCGAGCCAGCATGCAGGAAGGCTTGGCTCCAGGATCGCGACAGCCGGAAAACTTGTGAGCTGTATCAGGCCAAGAGCTGCATGGTGTGTGGCCAGATGGGCAGGAGTGAAGTTGCTTCGCATCTGGCATTGCTTGCAGACCTTGGCTCATGGGGCGGGCATGGGACCCGCAGGCAGAAAGGCAAGGCCCATCTCTAGCCTTCTATTCCCCAGAAGCAGAAGCTTGGCATAGCCACACTTTGGCCTGCAAGCTTGAAGCTGACAGCCAGGCTAGGCGCCCTGTGTGAAGGCTACATGGAGCTAGGGGTTGAGGCCATGGCGTGATGACATGATGGAGGCCCACCTTGCGGTTTGATCAGACGTGAGTAGGGCGACGGCCTGACATGACGGCTGCCGTCGTTTTTGCCGTTTTTGTCGTCGGTTTCCTCTCGCCCGCGAGGAGGAAGCACAGGATGGAGCAGAGGCGCCTGCGGCAGAGGAGGTGCCTGCGGCAGAGGAGGTGCCTGCGGCAGAGGAGGTGCCTGGAGCGGAGGAGGTGCCTGGAGCAGAGGAGGTGCCTGGAGCAGAGGAGGTGCCTGGAGCAGAGGAGGTGCCTGGAGCAGAGGAGGTGCCTGGAGCAGAGGAGATGGAGGCGGTGTGTTTTCCGTGGCTGTGGGTTCAGGAGTGACTGCAAAGTTTCTTGCAGTTGATTCAGGCGCCTGAGCCTGAGCATGCCATGGCGGAGCGTGATCTCAGCCCCCGGTGCCGGACTCGGGCGCTCGACTTGGAAAACCCTTGGTTTGGTGGCCGGGTTCGGATCTCACAGACTTAGTGGGGGACAAGAAGGAGGGCAAAAAAGGACCGTCCAAAGAGGAGAAGGTCCGAAACAAGCAGGATGCATATTCGCCCCAGATGGTTGCGGGTCAAAACCTAAGGTGCCAAAAAAGGGGCTACCGCTCCACATTTGTTTTTGTAGAAGGCTGGCTGGGTGTTCACCGTGGCTTCTATGGGTTTTGACCCATTGTCAGATGGTTTTGGTTTGGCCCAAGACCGTCGCGTTTTCGTTTTATGCGTCTTTCCTTACATCGAAGGGTGTTGCTTGCTCAGGCCACCGGAACCACGACAGGCGTGGCATGAGAGGGGCAGTGCTGGCCATGGATATTTCCATGTGGTTTTCACGTAAAAAAAAGAAGAAGAAACGTTCCTTGAGACCACCCTTAGCTGGTGATTGGAAGGGAGCCAAGGAGCTGAGGGTATCCAAACTTGCTTTTGAAGAGGGAGCGGTTGCTGAGATTGTTCGAAGTTCAAGCTCAGCAGCGGTTGCCGGGATTCTTGGGGCCCAGCGTGAGGATATTCACGGGGCTCGAGAGCAGCAAATGTGCTGAACACAAAGCTGCCGAGTGGCCCAATGAGAGCGGCCGGTGCGTGGCCTGCAATGCGGGCACCATGAGACCGGTTGCTTTCCTGACTTGGCTCTTGGGTTTGGCTCTGTCGGAGGAATGTTCGAACTGCGAGGAGGCGCTGGCTGTGATGAGCTTCAACGTGTTGGCTCGGAGGTACACCAGGCACAACAGCGCTTTTCACCAGGCCGGCGTCGGCGGCGTCGAGTCGCGCGGGCAGACGGCTGCGCGGCACGCCAAAGCGGCGGAGCAGATTTGGGCCGCGGCCCCGGAGGCGGTGCTGCTGCAGGAGTGCGGGCCCGACTTCTTGGAAGCGGCGCAGCTGGCGAAGTACCGCGCCTTCCGCTGCGGGGCGGAGGGGCCAGGCGCCGCGGTGCTGTTGAGGGAGGGTTGGGGCTTCGACGCCGGGCTCACCTGCCTGGGCGGCACCGAGGCAGCCGGAGGTTCCAGCAAGAGCGCCGCGGTGGTGCAGGTGCAGCTTCCGGGTGCTCGGCTGGCGGTGGTGAGTGTGCACTTCAGCCACGAACCGCTGCCGCGGCAGCACTTGGCGGACTTGGTGTCGAGGCACCTGCAACACCTGGCGCCCGACCTGCGCGTCGTGGCTGGGGATTTCAACCTGGAGCCCGGCGCCGAGCTCCGAGCGCTGGAGCGCAGCTTCCGGGCTTCGCGGGCCGTGCCCGACGTCTGCGCCACCGGCCTGGCGCCGGACTTTGCGTCCCGCCGCTGTCTGGACCACGTCTTGGTGTCCGGGCGAGTGTGCCGCAGCGCCGTCCTCGGGGTGCCGCAGAACCCCTGGGGCGGGCCGCAGGCGCAGGTCACCGGGGCGTCTGACCACGTGCCGTTGATGGTGTGGGTTGCCTTATGACCGAAGCCGACAGAAGTCGGCGCGTTGCAGATGAGGGTGGAGCTTGCTCTGCGCCACGACGGATGACGCTGCAAAGGACTCTGGCAAGCGCGTGTTGACATTTCCTGGCCAGAATGGCTTCATGTTGGGCAAGGCAGTTGGGCAATTTGCAGTTGAGCCCACACTCCAAACGGCTTCAAAATGCAGCCTGAGGTCTGTCTCAAGAATTTTCAGACCATCTGCTGTTGGCATTCCGCGCAAAAACGGGGCCTTGGCCATCCGCGCAAAGACGGGAGGGGGCCCCCTGCGTTTGACAGAAAGTGATGATGCCCAAACGCAGTCTGCCTCGCCAATGCATTGGCAGGTGCGGAAGCGCCTGGCGGTGACGTCCCCGGGCTTTGGCCCCGCGCCCGAAGTGCTTTTTTTTTCCTTTCCGCCTTTGTCTTTTCCTTCCGTTTTTTTTTTTTGACACACATGATGAGATTATCCGGCGTTTCGTTCTTTTTCTTTCGTTTTTACAAACATTTGCGAAACACGACATGTTTCATGTGGACTCTTTCCTCTCCGATCGACTTCCTGCGGCGTTTTCGTCGCAGGGGTCATGTCGCGGGCGGCCGCGGCAGCGGCCGCGGCGACACCGGTGCTGGATGACCCGTACCTGGCCGGGCGCGCGAGCGGAAGGGTAGCGTTGCCGCGGGTTGCAGGTAGCACCACCTGGCTGTGGGTCAAAACCAATTGGGATCCCATTTTGGGGTGGGTGAACCACCCATTTTAGGTTACCTATTTTGAGGGTGAAGGATAAGGGACACTCCCAACCATAAATAGGTTTCCCTCTTGGTAAGTCTTTGCATGGCTTTGGGTTCACATTTGTTTGATTGTGGCTCCCTTGATTTCACAAGCCGTCAGGAAGCTCTCGAGCTTGGAGAGCTGAGAGCGCTCGCAGGTGGTGGATGCGAAGGAAGCGAAGCAGAGGCTTCGCAGAGTCGCCCTCCTGGCGATCAGTGGAGCCGATGCTGAAGAAGGCGACTGGGTTGGGGGAAGGGGCCGGAAGAGACGGCAATTCAAGCCCTGAAAACGCGGGAGAGGGGATCGACCCCAGGATTCCCCGTGGTTTTTGGTGCGAAGACGAATCTGAATACGCATGATGTTCTTGCGACTTGTGCTTGTTTAGTCTGATGCACTTCATGGGCCATTTTCCGATTCTGACCCGTTTCGTTCAGTTTTTTTTGGGAGGGAACCTCATGCGCCGCCAGGCGTGGGGCTCGCTGAGTTCATGGACAGCCTGAAGCAGCTCCATCCCAGCGTGCGGGCCTCAAAAACCCGGCGCCGGCGCGCCCCTGCGTTCCGTTTTTTTCTTTTTTGTTTTTGTTTTTGTTTCTTGCGCCCAACGAGTGTCGATGGCCTGGGGATTCTTTGGGTGCAATGAGGGAAGCGGTTCTGCGCTTGACTGCCACACGAGGCCCAAGCTGACATGGAGAGGCGCAGGGTGGGTGCAACCGAAAGAACCGCTTGCCACCCGGCGAATGCAACAAAGAATTACCAAGGCTTTGGTCGGCGGATGATTTTTTGGGTCGTTGGGGGTGACTGCCGCGGATACTCCATTTCTTGGAAGTGAACAATTTGCTGATGCGATAGGCAGGGAACGAGAGTTATGGAATGACCCCGACTTCAACCATCCCACTGGTTTCCTTCAAGGGGGAATCCCCAGGTGAGCAGGTGAGCCACAATCAAGACCCGGGTAGATGAAGGTTAGCAAGGGATACTCCCAACCATAAATAGCTGCGGCCGCCTTCTTAATTCTTGAAGCATGGTTCTGGGTCGACCATTTTAATCATGGGTTTTGATTACGATTCACTTTTTTTTTTCCCCGAACTCAGCTTGGTTTTCTGGCTTATTGTCAGCAGGAATGAAAGAATGACCCGTTTTAACCATCTTTTTTGGTTTCCTTGAAGGGAACCCCAAAACGGTTCCTTCGCAACACTCTGGGTCCTTGCCTACTGAGAACCAGCCTGTTTGGCTGGGAAGGGGGAATCCCAAAGCGGTTCCTTCCATGTCTCCTTCCCTAACCGAAGCACTCGTCGCACCGAAGTTTGGGCGTCCAGGTGCGGCTGCTCCTCCCTGCGGGAGCTGCTGCCGGCGGTGGGCGGGGCCCGCGTCGGCCAAAGAGCCGCCGACGCCGAGGCGCCCGCCCGCGGCTTTTTGGGAAGCGCCGAAAGCGTCCGACGCTTTCGCCGCGTTTTTTTTTCTTTTTCTACCCGGTTTTTCAGCAAGTCGAGGGGTGTGCCATCGGGATCTTGTTGGCTGTTTTTTGGCTGGGGTCTGGCTTTTGGGGGTGGTTTTGTGGTGTTTGGTTCTCTGGTGTGCGGCCCCCTCGTCCTGTTTGGGCCGGGTTCTGGGGGCTTCTCATTGGAATCTCGGATTCTTGAGATACGCCAGGAGCGGGTCTTCCCAGAGGAGGAGGGCCAGGCGAACGGGAGAATCACCCTGAAGGTGGACAGGACGGGAGCGCGATCGCACGAGTTTTGGAAATGTGGGGAAAGACAAAGTGGTCTCAAGCGTATCAAGTATGGGACGCACTGCGAAACATTCGGTCTCACAGCCTCTGCTCAGATGAGCACTCAGATCAAGCTGAGAACGCGAGAGAGAATTGAGAAGCCCCCAAAAGCAGCCGTTGCTTAGACTGCTCCGACACGATGGGTGACTGGAGGGCCGGAAAATCCGCATTTTATCCGAGTCATGAGTCATGAGCATTTGGCCCACATGGAATTGCACAATGAGCATGAGAGGGCACGCTGGGGTGGAGTGAGCACGAGAGAGAGAGAGAGAGAAAGAGAGAGAGAGAGAGAGAGAGAGAGAAGAGAGAAAGAAAGAGAGAGAGAGAGAGAGAGAGAGAAAGAAAGAAAGAAAGAAAGAAAGAAAGAAAGAAAGAAAGAAAGAAAGAAAGAAGGAAAGAAAGAAAGAATGAAATAAAATCATATATAGAAAGAAAGAAAGAAAGAAAGAAAGAACGAAAGAAAGAAAGAAAGAATGAAAGAAAGAAAGAAAGAAAGAAAGAAAGAAAGAAAGAAATAAAATAATAAAAAGACAGACAGACAGAAAGAAAGAAAGAAAGAAAGAAAGAAAGAAACAAAAAAAGAAAGAAAGAAAGAAAAAAAGAAAAAAAAGAAAGAAAGAAAGAAAGAAAAGAAAAAAAACAGAAAGAAAGAAAGAAAGAAAGAAAGACAGAAAGAAAGAAAGAAAGAAAGAAAGAAAGAAAGAAAGAAAAGAAAAGAAAGAAAGAAAGAAAGCAAGAAAGAAAGAACGAACGAACAAATGAAAAGAAAGAAAAAAAGAAAAGAAAGAAAGAACGAAAGAACGAACGAACGAACGAATGAAAAGAAAGAAAGAAAGAAAGAACGAAAAGAAAGAAAGAAAGAAACAAATGAAGAGAAAGAAAGAAAGAAAGAAAGAAAGAAAGAAAAGAAAGAAAGAAAGAAAGAAAGAAAGAAAGAAAGAAAGAAAGAAAGAAAGAACGAACAAACGAACGAACAAATGAAAAGAAAGAAAGAAAGAAAGAAAAGAAGGAAATGAAAGAAAGAAAGAAAGAACGAACGAACGAACCAATGAAAAGAAAGAAAGAAAGAAAGAAAGAAAGAAAGAAAGAAAGAACGAACGAACGAACGAACCAATGAAAAGAAAGAAAGAAAGAAAGAAAGAAAGAAAGAAAGAAAAGAAAGAAATTAAAGAAAGAAAGAAAGAAAGAAGGAAAGAAAGAAAGAACGAACGAACGAACGAATGAAAGAAGGAAAGAAAGAAAGAAAGAACGAACGAACGAACCCATGAAAAGAAAGAAAGAAAGAAAGAAAGAAAAGAAAGAAAGAAAGAAAGAAAGAACGAACGAACGAACTAACGAATGAAAAGAAAGAAAGAAAGAAAGAAAGAAAAGAAAGAAAGAACGAAAGAACGAACGAACGAACGAATGAAAAGAAAGAAAGAAAGAAGGAACGAACGAACGGACGAACGAACGAATGAAAAGAAAGACAGAAAGAAAGCAAAGAAAGAAAGAAAGAGAGAACGAACGAACGAAGGAATGAAAATAAAGAAAGAAATAAAGACAAGAATGAAAGAAAGAAAGAAAGAAAGAAAGAAAGAAAGAAAGAAAGACATAAAGAAATAAATCAATAAAGGAAAGAAAGAAAGAAAGAACGAACGAACGAACGAATGAAAAGAAGGAAAGAAAGAAAGAAAGAACGATCGAACGAACGAACGAATGACAAGAAAGAAAAAAAGAAAAGAAAGAAAGAAAGAAAGAAAGAACGAACGAACGAACGAACCAATGAAAAGAAAGAAAGAAAGAAAGAAAAGAAAGAAAGAAAGAAAGAAAGAAAGCAAGAAAGAAAGAACGAACGAACGAACGTTCAAATGAAAAGAAAGAAAGAAAGAAAAGAAAGAAAGAACGAAAGAACGAACGAACGAATGAAAAGAAAGAAAGAAAGAAAGAACGAAAAGAAAGAAAGAAAGAAACAAATGAAGAAAAAGAAAGAAAGAAAGAAAGAAAAGAAAGAAAGAAAGAAATAAAGAACGAACGAACGAACGAACGAATGAAAAGAAAGAAAAAAAGAAAAGAAAGAAAGAAAGAAAGAAAGAAAGAAAGAAAGAAAGAACAAACGAACGATCGAACGAAAAGAAAGAAAGAAAGAAAGAAAGAAAGAAAGAAAGAAAGAAAGAAAGACAGAAAAGAAAGAACGAACGAAGGAACGAACAAATGAAAAGAAAGAAAGAAAGAAAAGAAGGAAATGAAAGAATGAAAGAAAGAAAGGAAGAACGAACGAACGTACCAATGAAAAGAAAGAAAGAAAGAAAGAAAGAAAATAAGAAATAAAGAAAGAAAGAAAGAAAGGACAGAAAGAAAGAAATAAATAACGAACGAACGAAGGAACGAATGAAAAGAAAGAAAGACAGAAAGAAAGAAAGAAAGAAAGAAAAGAAAGAAATAAATAAAGAAAGAAAGAAAGAAATAACGAACAAACGAACGAACGAATGAAAAGAAAGAAAGAAAGAAAGAAAAGAAGGAAATGAAAGAAATAAAGAAAGAACGAACGAACGAACCAATGAAAAGAAAGAAAGAAAGAAAGAAAGAAAGAAAGAAAGAAAGAAAGAAAGAAAGACATAAAGAAATAAATCAATAAAGGAAAGAAAGAAAGAAATAACGAACGAACGAACGAATGAAAAGAAGGAAAGAAAGAAAGAAAAGAAGGAACGAATGAAAAGAAAGAAAGAAAGAAAGAAAGAAAGAAAGAAAGAAAGAAAGAAAGAAAGAAAGAAAGAAAGAACGAACGAACAAACGAACAAATGAAAAGAAAGAAAGAAACAAAGAAAAGAAGGAAATGAAAGAAAGAAAGAAAGAACGAACGAACGAACCAATGAAAAGAAAGAAAGAAAGAAAGAAAGAAAGAAAGAAAGAAATAAATAAAGGAAAGAAAGAAAGAACGAACGAACGAACGAATAAAAAGAAGGAAAGAAACAAACAAAAGAAGGAAATGAAGGAAAGAAAGAAAGAACGAACGAACGAACCAATGAAAAGAAAGAAAGAAAGAAAGAAAGAAAGAAAGAAAGAAAGAAATCAATAAAGGAAAGAACGAAAGAAAGAACGAACGAACGAACGAATGAAAAGAAGGAAAGAAAGAAAGAACAGAAGGAACGAATGAAAAGAAAGAAAGAAAGAAAGAAAGAAAGAAAGAAAGAAAAGAAAGAAATTGAAGAAAGAAAGAAAGAAAGAAAGAACGAACGAACGAACAAATGAAAAGAAAGAAAGAAACAAAGAAAAGAAGGAAATGAAAGAAAGAAAGAAAGAACGAACGAACGAACCAATGAAAAGAAAGAAAGAAAGAAAGAAAGAAAGAAAGAAAGAAATAAATAAAAGGAAAGAAAGAAAGAACAGAAGGAACAAATGAACGAAAGAAAGAAAGAAAAAAAGAAGGAAATGAAAGAAAGAAAGAAAGAACGAACGAACGAACCAATGAAAAGAAAGAAAGAAAGAAAGAAAGAAAGAAAGAAAGAAAGAAAGAAATAAAGGAAAGAAAGAAAGAAAGAACGAACGAACGAACGAATGAAAAGAAGGAAAGAAAGAAAGAACAGAAGGAACGAATGAAAAGAAAGAAAGAAAGAAAGAAAGAAAAGAAGGAAATGAAAGAAAGAAAGAAAGAACGAACGAACGAACCAATGAAAAGAAAGAAAGAAAGAAAGAAAGAAAGAAAGAAAGAAAGAAAGAAATAAAGGAAAGAAAGAAAGAACGAACGAACGAACGAACGAATGAAAAGAAGGAAAGAAAGAAAGAACAGAAGGAACGAATGAAAAGAAAGAAAGAAAGAAAGAAAGAAAAGAAGGAAATGAAAGAAAGAAAGAACGAACGAACGAACCAATGAAAAGAAAGAAAGAAAGAAAGAAAGAAAGAAAGAAAGAAAGAAAGAAAGAAAGAAAGAAAGAAAGAAAGAAAGGAAGAAATAAAGGAAAGAAAGAAAGAAAGAACGAACGAACGAACCAATGAAAAGAAAGAAAGAAAGAAAGAAAGAAAGAAAGAAAGAAAGAAAGAAAGAAAGAAAGAAATAAAGGAAAGAAAGAAAGAAAGAACGAACGATCGAACGAATGAAAAGAAGGAAAGAAAGAAAGAACAGAAGGAACGAATGAAAAGAAAGAAAGAAAGAAAGAAAAGAAAGAAATTAAAGAAAGAAAGAAAGAAAGAAAGAAAGAAAGAAAGAAAGAACGAACGAACGAACGAACAAATGAAAAGAAAGAAAGAAAGAAAGAAAGAAAGAAAGAAAGAAAGAAAGAACGAACGAACGAACGAATGAAAGAAGGAAAGAAAGAAAGAAAAGAAGGAACGAATGAAAAGAAAGAAAGAAAGAAAGAAAGAAAGAAAAGAGAGAAATTAAAGAAAGAAAGAAAGAAAGAAAGAAAGAAAGAAAGAACGAACGAACGAACGAACGAACAAATGAAAAGAAGGAAAGAAAGAAAGAAAAGAAGGAAATGAAAGAAAGAAAGAAAGAACGAACGAACGAACCAATGAAAAGAAAGAAAGAAAGAAAGAAATAAAGGAAAGAAAGAAAGAAAGAAAGAAAGAAAGAAAGAAAGAAAAAAAAGAAAGAAAGAAAGAAAGAACGAACGAACGAACGAATAAAAAGAAGGAAAGAAAGAAAGAAAAGAAGGAAATGAAAGAAAGAAAGAAAGAACGAACGAACGAACCAATGAAAAGAAAGAAAGAAAGAAAGAAAGAAAGAAAGAAAGAAATAAAGGAAAGAAAGAAAGAAAGAACGAACGAACGAACGAATGAAAAGAAGGAAAGAAAGAAAGAAAAGAAGGAAATGAAAGAAAGAAAGAAAGAACGAACGAACGAACCAATGAAAAGAAAGAAAGAAAGAAAGAAATAAAGGAAAGAAAGAAAGAAAGAAAGAAAGAAAGAAAGAAAGAAAAAAAAGAAAGAAAGAAAGAAAGAACGAACGAACGAACGAATAAAAAGAAGGAAAGAAAGAAAGAAAAGAAGGAAATGAAAGAAAGAAAGAAAGAACGAACGAACGAACCAATGAAAAGAAAGAAAGAAAGAAAGAAAGAAAGAAAGAAAGAAAGAAAGAAAGAACGAACGAACGAACGAATGAAAAGAAGGAAAGAAAGAAAGAAAAGAAGGAACGAATGAAAAGAAAGAAAGAAAGAAAGAAAAGAAAGAAATTAAAGAAAGAAAAAAAGAAAGAAAGAAAGAAAGAAAGAAAGAACGAACGAACGAACGAACGAACAAGTGAAAAGAAAGAAAGAAAGAAAGAAAAGAAGGAAATGAAAGAAAGAAAGAAAGAACGAACGAACGAACCAATGAAAAGAAAGAAAGAAAGAAAGAAAGAAAGAAAGCAAGAACGAACGAACGAACGAACGAACAAATGAAAAGAAAGAGAGAAAGAAAGAAAAGAAGGAAATGAAATAAAGGAAAGAAAGAAAGAACGAACGAACGAACGAATGAAAGAAGGAAAGAAAGAAAGAAAAGAAGGAACGAATGAAAAGAAAGAAAGAAAGAAAGAAAGAAAAGAAAGAAAAGAAAGAAAGAAAGAAAGAAAGAAAGAAAGAAAGAAAGAAAGAAAGAAAGAAAGAACGAACGAACGAACGAACAAATGAAAAGAAAGAAAGAAAGAAAGAAAAGAAGGAAAT